ATAACCATCTCAGTTTAGAACTAAGGCAAATAATGGTTAAGTGCTATGTTTGGTCTGTACTTTTGTATAGTGCAGAAGTGTGGACGCTAAAAGTATCGATAATGTACAAAATTGAAGCATTGGAAATGTGGGTTCATAGATGAATGCTGAAGATACCTTGGACAACAAGAAGAATTAATGAAGAAGTACTAAGGAGCGTCAACAAAGATAGAGAATTGCTAAAGACTGTTAAACATCGAAAAATGTCTTATCTGGGACATATAGTAAGGGGAAGTCGATATAAAATTTTACAACTGATCCTTAAAGGCAAAATAGAGGGCCGTAGAGGTGTAGGAAGAAAACAAGTTTCCTGGTTAAAAAACATTCGTGAATGGACTTAGATACCAAATGCAGGACAATTATTCCTTATTGCAGAAGATCGAGAAGCCTTCGCAATGGTGATCGCCAATGTCAGATAATTCTGATATGGCACGCGAAGAAGAAGTATTACAATACTGTTGTTATTTATTTACAACCCGGTCCGATACATATAAATATGGTTTATATTAGTAGATATATTAGTACCATTGATTGTAATAAGACTTGCATGTACTAAAAAAAAGTGGATCTAATTGTTTTCCAGTTAAACATACAATCAGTCAGAAGAAAAATAGGCGTATTAGATGCATGCACTATAGACAGAAATATGAACATCCTTGTATTACTGAACACTGATTAATAGAGAAGGAAATCCAAACAGTCTCAATTAAAGGTTGGCTTGTTTTATAGTCGAGTCCCAGAATCCACGGAGGAGGTACTGTTATATATGTAAAAAGTTCTATATTTTTGTAATGAATATTGTTGTGTATGTCTTAAAGATTTCAACCTGATTGTGGTAGCCTATATATCACAGCCCCTCTGGCCAGTTGACACTTTTTTAGAATCTATGGAGGAGGTACTAAACACACTTAACCTACTTAAGCAAATCTTTGTTGCTGGGTATTAAAATGTTTACTTTCTAACTAAAAATACATCTGCCTGTAAGCTCCAAGATGTTTTTGAGAGTTTTAATCTGATTAAAACTATAGATCCTTCAACTAGAGACAATAACTGCATTGACAATGTCTTTTTGGAACCTGGAGGGATGCTCTGTTCAACTGAGGTGATCGATGTGGGGTTTTTGGAACACAGGGGGCAAATTGTTAGGTTTGTAACTCAGAAAAGGGCTATAGGTTACAGAGTACAACCAAGGTTTATTCGACCTTGCACTGAAAAAGATAAACATTTATTTTATAATTGGCTTGACAACGACACCTCTATAGATTTTAAGTTTCATAAGTTTATGGGCATTCTTGAATCATGTTTTTCAGAATCCTTTCATCAAAAAGTCTATAAAGTAAGGATAGACCAAGTTGGCAAATTACATGGTTCTCAAACAAAGAGCAATGAGATAACATGAACATGCAAATTTTTTAAGTGAATTTTACAGGGGCAAGTTGGACAAATTACATGGTTCTCAAACAAAGAGCAATGAGAGAACATGAACATGCAAATTTTTTACGTGAGTTTTACAGACAACTTACAAATACTAAATGATTTAAAAAAAAAACTGTATAAAAATGAAATAAAAAAGCAAAGAATAATTCTAATGAGTAATCTTGACTTCAAGATTAGATACACACACACACACACACATATATATATATATATATATATATATATATATATATATATATATATATATATATATATATATATATATATATATATATGGATTTTTTGAAAAATATCAATGTAAATCCCTCACTTTTGCTTTTCTGAAATATCATTCAATCACACCCAGGAAATCATAGACAGCTTAAAAAACAAAGAAACTGATGACATATATGGCTTAAATGTCAGCATTATTAGGATGATAAAAAATATTATTGTAAGTCCTCTTACACACTTAATAAATCAATGCTTTAAAAAGAATACATTTCCCTCAGTTCTAAAAAGAGCTATTACAACACCCATATTTAATAGAGGAAACTGACAGTCCTGAGAACTAGAGGTTTGTTGCATTGCTTCCAGTCGTCTCTAAAATAGTAGAAAAGGTCATGGCTTTGTAAATCACAAGTAATAATTATTTTGCAGGATCACTGTTTGGTTTCAAGAAAACAAGGAGCACAACTCTTGGCATTCTTTACCTAGTGTCCCGCACATGGATGTAATATGTCCATGGTCCCGCATCTTGGAATCCTTGCATAGGATGCAATTCAGAACTGTTGTGTTTTGTGACTTGAGTAGTTTGATTGTATGGACCATGGGATACTCCTAAAAAAACAAAAGAGATACAACTTTTTCTCACAGAGTGTCAAGTTGATCCAATCATACCTCGAGAATAGGGTACAATCTGTAAGGGTGTGTGAAGTGTTGTCAGGGGAGATTGTTGTTAATATTGGTGTTCCTCAGGGCTCTGTCCTTGGACCCATACTATTTGGAATATGTATTAATGATCTTAAAAGCATTAAATGAAATGCTACATACACACTCTTCACTGATGACACCACAGTCTCCTTCACAGCTGACACACTTGAGGAATCTCTTAGAGGTTCTGCACTGTTGGATACCAAAGAGTGGTTCTGTGTTAACAGGCTCCTTCCTGCCTATTGAAGCAAAGACCAACAGAGCTGTTTTTACTCTTAGGGCCACTCAGTCTGAAGAGCAGATGTGACAAGTGTGAAGTTATAGCCAATCATCATCATCAATGATCAGGTAATCAGCTTCAAAAGTCCAATGCTAAACATATGCCTCTTCCTCATGTTTCCAACCCCATGTATCTTGCGCCACTCTCATCCAGTTTTATTTTGTCTTCTTAAATTGTAAGAATATCTTTTAGGTGGTCAACTGATGCTTCTCGTCTTCCCTTGGTCTCCATTGCAATAAACCCTTTCTCTATTGACCATCCATCATTCTAGCTATGTGTCCTGCCCACCTCCTTTTTAAACTGGCTATCCTTTCATTGATGTCTCTCTTCCCTGATGATGATTCTTCCCTGTGCGACTCTCAGTTTGGTAGCTGAGGCTTTTGTGTTTCTGCTCTGTATGTTTATTAATTAATCAAATACTTTTCTCTTCTGGCATGTGGGCAACTTTTAAAAGTTTTCCTCAGTTTTCCATATGCTGTCCACAAAGACTGATTCTTCTCTTCAGTTCATGGGTCTGAGTATCCATAGCCAATAAAAAAAAAAATTTACACAACCTGTTTTTTAACAAAATAAAGCTGCATGAGTTATTTTGAAATTCTATAGTTGTTCATAGATTAGTATTTACAAAAGGAAAGTTTTTAGTAAAAAATTAATGAGTGTACACTCCAACTATTAATCATTTTTTTGAATGAAACGAGTAAGTTTATTTGAACTATTAATACTGAGTAGTGTCATCCTGGTGCATAAGTTGTAGACTAATACACACCCTGATGCGCATCGCCCGCCTTAAAACTGCTTTATGGGACTTTTCTACTCTTGGCCTCAGCTCCCAACTAGAGTCTCTGCACCCTAGGAGTGCGATGTTGGGGCTCTGCTCCACTTTACGCTTTTAGACTCTGTGGCTGGATTGTTTTTCCACCCTTAGAAAGTGTTTTATTTTACTTCTATTTACGTCCTTGTGTTAGAAATACCAATAATCCATTGACAATGGAACTTACACAGACGGGACTACGGTGTTGTGTTTAAGTGGCCGTGATTTTTCAAGTCCTTTTTAAGCCCATCTAATAATAGTAGTTGGAATTCTTTTTAGTAGGTAGTAGGTTCTTTTCAGTATTTTCATTGCATGCAATCTGATACTGCAGTTGGTTCGCTCAGCTAGGGAATATTTTGACAGAATCTTTGTCAGAAACATACAACACAAAAATTGCTACCATACTGCATTCTTCTTCTTGTACCCTGCTCGATTATCATGTGTTGGGTATACTAATTTTGTTGATGACAGCTAGCAGGAAAAGGAATGCAGTGGATCTGTTAAACCATTCTCTCATATTTTTAAGCCATGATGTTCATCTTCTTCCATCTCTCTTGACCTGTATTATTAAATGAAATATATTATATCTCTCTGGGTGAGGCATAATATGGTTAAATATTCCAGTTTCCTTTTCCCATCCACTGCACAATAACTTCGTTACGAATTCCATCTAGCCAACTTATTCACAGAATTCAGATATACATAGATTTCAAGTTTTATAAGATTTTCTTCATCTTAAAAAATGCAGCTCTGGCCTTCTCTATACATATTCTAATTTCTTTGCTCATATACTAGTTCTCATTTAGATTATAACCAAGATGTGATACTTTTGGTTCTCTCCAGTTGTTCTTCATAAGCTGTTACATCTGTAATGGAGTTTTACTTTACTATTACCTTTGTGGTATTTACTACCTTCAGTCCATATTCATTGCATGTTGTGGTAATCTTATTAATCAGATGTTGAAGTTCTTCATAACTATTTGCAATATTTGCTACAAACACCTTGTATGAATAGCTGAAATAAACTTACTGTAGGAGACTTTTTTAATTGCAAAAAGAAGAATATTGGGAGTGTACATTTGTTAATTTTGTTTAAAACTTTCTATTTCTAAATACTAGTAAATAAATGACTAAAGAAAATTACATTTAAAAATTTGTTTTAATTGGAGAGTAGTTTTATTTTATAGATAAACTGCATGCAAATAATTGTTTACTTTTTAATTAACTTGCCATAAAATTACTAAATTATTAAAATTTACTAAATTAGGACTTGGGTCAGTGAATTAGGTATAACATATCACAATCTTCCTTAAACACTGATAGTACTTATTTGCATACTGTTAAACCATGTGATAATTTACGTACAATAGTATTGTTGATCCCTTGATAAGGTGCTACCAAAACCACACTCAAAAAATAACATCAGTTAGAAAAAAATAATGCATAGTGACGTACCCGCTTTATTAACATTGAAACAATATTAAATAATATTAAAATAAAGTAAGAATTAAATAAAAATATGGGTGTAACAATATTTAATGTTCATATTTACAAATGACTACACAATTTTTATCTATAAATAGCCACTGTCACTTAAAGACCATAACTCTATGACAAAATTGTTCACTTTTAGACTGGAATCTTACTTTTTACTGACAAATGTGGCATTAAGGTCTTTTTCACAGTTCGAATAGGCCATTCCAATACCAAATCCTCCACCCATTATGATAGGCCATCGCCTTCTCTTGAAAAATAATAAGGAAAATACTGAGCCTAATACAAGACCTCCACCTAAAATAAAATCCAAATTTTAATTTAATTAAGATTCTTCACAAACGAAATTATTTAAAACAAATTAATCACGTACTTGAATAATGGTTTATAAGGAATTATAAAAATGATTTGCAAATGGGGTATAAGTACATAAATAAAGGTTAGGTGATGACATAATCTATAAAATACAGACAAACAATTTTTAATTTAAGTATTATATATTTGTGAGGCAGTAAGTAGAATAATAAACACTCACCAAATTTAAGAACTCCATCTGATAAACATTTATCCCATTTTTTTCCCAATTCCTCTTCAACATATACAGGCGACGCCATTTTCGGTCTAAGGTAAAAAAGTTAACCTCTACTGCAAAAGTTAACTTATTGTATTTCGGTAATAAAACCTGTGTATATTAAATGTTTAAATATTAGGTGGAATAAAGTTATATCAATATGATTTCATGAAAAACATGACCCCTTTACAATAAATGATTTTTATTTTTAAACATTTTTATTTTTTGACATTTGTCAAAAGAGTTATTCAATAACTCAATGCATTTTTTCATATTTTAGTATGTGAATTAAATACTTATTTCAAATCTAAAATTTAAATACAGGTATATAAAACATAAAAACAAAATTTTTATATATATTTAGCAAAACGTTTAATTTTTAAAAAGTATTTTTATAATTGTACAGTAACAATTTTGAATTTATCAAAAATCAAAATGTATAAATGACGAATATACGTCATCGGATTTAACACTTTCTCGTCATTTTATTTGTCAACGAACATCCATTGGCGTGCACAGGTGAAAAAAAAGTTTTTCATGGTAAAATTATTAGACAATTGCATTTCATTTTTATATTATTTTCTGATTTATTTTTTGAACATAATGGAATATAATCGTCGCTTTAAATTTATTACCATACATTGCCACAGAAGAGACCAACCCAACTGGTGTATTCTGTGATATTGCGAACTATATTTTTATATTTAAGTATCCTTCCCAGTAAATGTTCTCATCTGCTACTATGGTAAGTCGTCTAACATTGTGAATAACCTCAATTTTATTATGTCACTGTCAAAAGTGGTAAAATGAATTATTTAAATCATAATATTGATCAATTCTGTTTTGTTTTGGTCGACTCAGTTCAGAGTGAAAAATAAAAAGTACAATTGGAAAAAGTAACTCTAATTGGGGTTTTCGTTTTAGGCAGATTAAGATAACCATTTTATTGTCTTAGCACCTCGTTTAAAATGAATACTGCTATTAATATAGGTGTAGAGGACATGACTGTAACTATAGTTCGCTATGGGTTATATTTAGGTGCGATATTCCAAATAGTTTGTCTAGTAGCTTGTATTTTTATATCTGACTCACCAGAAGATAATCTTTCATGGGGCTCAAGGGTAAGAGATATTAATAATTAATACAGGTTTTCAAAATGTATAGTTATGCATTTTGAATTTTAGATCGACAGTGATGATGAAAGTTCTGAACAAAGTACCCCACAAAATACTCCAAGAAGGCCTTATCATAGAGGCAGAAAGCAAGAGAAGAAAAAGAGACGTTAAAGTGTAGACATATTTAGTCAGTATTATCTGTGGAATTATGATTTTCTATTTGTGTGATATTAACTCATTTTAAAAGCTTTCTTAGTGTTAGGTGGATATCCTATTATTTCTTTTATAACTGAAAACTATTTTATTTAGTTTTAAGAGATTGAAATCACTATGGAGAATGTTAATTAGTGATTTATAGTATAGCAAACAACTTTTATTTTGCAATTTTTACTGTAAAAACAAAGATGTATTATAAAATATATCCTGAAGATCAATACAATATAATAATATGGCTTTACACTTAAACAACAACCCAAACTTGTTGAGTAAGACATAAAGTAATTAATTTAATTATGTTCTTTTAGTCTTTATATGACATTCCTTGAGTATTTATTAGAATATAACATAGGAAAAGCAAGAAAAGTAAAAAATATTTTTTATATTACAAAAATACACTGACAGAGTTATTTATTAACAGGTACATACTGAAGTGTGAAGAAAAATTGTACAAAAAAAGCAATGAATGAGAAATAATTTTAATTTAAAGAAAAGAAGAAACAAACTTACTTACCTTATTTACAACTAGATTCCGATTAGAATTATTTTATAATTTCCCAAAAGAAAGGAAGATTATGAAAAAATTAAACAGTACAAAAGCTGTTTTTATTACACACTGTAACAAATTTAACCAGAAATAATTGATTATATCTTACATACTAGTATCCATTATTCCAAACTAATATCTGTTTACATGTTTATTGTTATTTATTAATTTATCTGAATGTCCCAGTATCTCAGTCCAGGACGCTGCGTGACTAATCTGCAGGATTCGTTCCACATCATACACATCCACACTCTATTCATCAGCAAGGAGGCACCCTGTCTCGTTAGTGGTTCCCGTTACAGTTATCGAGAACTTGATGTACTGATGTTCAGTTTCAGTGTAGTCTGGTAAAACCTGTCAATCTCTTGCTTTCACCGCTATTGCCGCCATGGTCACGTCGATGTACGTACCTGTACCTCTCCTAACAAACGTAGGTTCCAGACCTGTGTTCAGAACCACTAGGTCTAGAGTACCCACTCAGTTAGTATCCTGCCGCGAGTATCAGTGTTGGGAGATCCCCACTCCGCTGCTTTTGCGTTAAAAAATCTCCCAGCACTATGTATTCTCCTCCTGTGTTTCTTACTTCCTGCATGATCTCGTCTACCATCATCTCATACTCGCCCACCTTCACGTTTGGAGAAATATAACAGCACAGCAGCCGCATTCCTCCTTCCGAACAATCACATATCCTTCTTTCGGCTTAATTTCATACACTCACAGCTTTCTATTGTAGATTCATACAGCAGCCCTCCTGGTCGTATCTACAAACCATCCTCTTCTCTTCACCGCTGTTGGATTTGGTTCCGGCGTCACCAGCATATCGATTTTCTTTTCTACTGCGGAAGCCTCAGCAAGATCGTGTGCTAATCTTGCTGTTCCCACATTAGTTTGGAGCACCCTCAGCTCTCGAGTCCTGTTTTCTTTGTTTGCCATTTCTAAACCTTGGACTTCTTTCGCGCTCTCTTTTACGCTCCCGTACTCTTCTTGGGACTAGTCCTCAGTGCAAAAGTTATTTAGAAACAGTAAAAAATTAAAGGAATACCCCATACAAAAAACAAAGTAATGTACTGCTCTAAATACATATGAAAAAAATTAAAAACAAAACCAGGTATATTTCCTTTGAACTATACAACATATACCAGGATCCGGATATCATAACATTCATTAAAATAGGAAGGCTACGTTGGATTGGACATGTGGAAAGAATGGAAGAAGGCGAAATACCAAACAAAATATTCAAACAAGTGCCAGTAGGAAAAAGAACAAGAGGAAGACCGAAGCTGAGATACGTAGAACAAATAGAAAATGATATAACAACATTAAAAATTAAAAACTGAAAAAAAAAAAGCACGAAACAGGTCAGAATGGAGAAGAATCCTTGAACAGGCCAAGACCCAAAAAGGGTTGTCGAGCCAGTGATGATGATGATGAGGTATATTTCCTTAAGTGGGTTTTTATTTATTCCATACATAGATAGTCAGTTTAAAAACTCAGCATTTATTTAAAAATTTCTAGTGGCGAAACAAAAAAGACGAATTAAAGAGCAAGGCAGTAAACAATCATCCTTGAAAGCAGCACTCAACAAATATAAACTGAGTTTTAAAGTTGTTCAGTCTAATATTTTTAGAACACAAAAACATATGAATTATTTACATATGATTATTATGATTTACATAATAGCAATAAAAGAAGCCAAAATAAAATGCTAAAGAACTACTGGTAATTGTGAAAACTCGGAAGGATCAGGATCGATTGAATAGCTTCAAGAATATTTTTAAAATGGGACACACAAAAGGATGATTGTATGGTAATGCTGATGCTCTTTCAAAAGGCCTTGCAAAATTGACTGTAAACACTGTTACAGGGCAGAGTAGAAAGATGGCAAAGACGCTATTATGTGTAAAGAAAACGGTTCAACCCACTGACGATTGGAACTCACAATGTGCCTCAAAAAGTTAAGCGCTGAAGTGTTACTGGGCCTAATGTGACAGCTTGGTTTTGGTTAATGGTATTCTCGAAAGTGTTTTATTGAGTTCCGATGGAAAAGAGATGAAACATCAAATAGTCTTGCCACGATTAAGAAGTCACAAAGAAGTATTGGCTGAAATTAAAGGAGGAACTACAGGAGTTCATTTTGGAGTAAGTAACACCTTAGATATGCTATAGAGCTATAAAGCAATATAACGGTAGAAGTCTTTTGAAAATGATTGCCACTGATATCGTTGGACGTCTCTCTCGGGTACCAGGAGAAGGAACATAGACTGCGACAGAGAAAACTGATCCAAAGCAGTCCCTGCATCTTTTTCTAATGGACCGAATTTTTTGACCACGTGACCTAAATGACCAATGGGAAGGTCACGTGGTCGATAAACCCGGCGTACTTGTTTGATTTGAAACAAGAATACCTTTTTTGTGTAGAATTGAATGTTTTTTTTTCCTAGAATGTTTATACAGGGCGGACAAAAAATTATGGCCAAATTAATGAACCAATGTTATAGTAGGCGGCGCCACCTAGTATCATTTTCATATTTAGCATACTAAATAACAGCAAGATACCAAATTTCACTTAAATTGGTTAAATATTTTTCAATATATTCCTAAAAATAATATAAATCCCCTTTTTTTGTTGCATAGCTTTTTCTAAAATCCGTCTGTAGTATGGGGTGAATCAATTTATTTTCTAATCGTTTCGTAATGATTTTATAAATATGGGAAATCTATGAGTTTGAAGCATCGCCTTTTTTATGAAATAGAATAAATTTTGCGTTATGCCACTGAGTCGGTGTTACTGCTTGCTGACTTGCTGTAGACATTTAGTGAATTTAGTGAATAGTTTGCCACTTATCTGTCACGTGTCACAATCTTTTTCCAGTCACTTTCCTACTACATATCCACGTGCATCTAACCAGGGCCGGACGGTCAAAAATAAAGCCTCCAAGCTTAACTCTATACTCAGCTTTTTAAAATCTTAATGCATGTAAATTAAATCAATATTATGTGTGATTTTTTTAAGTTAAATTTTAATTTAAATCCATAAAGTGTAATATCATCCAAAACGAGGACTTTCTCACTGTCCCTCATACTTCGTTATACTCTTTTAATTCCTGAATTTTCTAAAAAGTGTGAGTAATGTTTTAACTATTTCTACAAAAGAATCTACTCTTTAAAGCATTTGAGAAAAATAACGGTGATTGTTGGTCAATAAAACTCGCTACGATAATTCCTAGAACCAGTTATTGAAAAATATAATAGGTGACAAGGGAATATCGAAACTAGGTGCTGTACTGAAACGTGCAAGCACAAACTGAACGTAGGTAAAGCGAACACGTACACTCACACAAACCTCACACACACACACACACACACACACACACACACACACACACACACACACACACAAAACACACACACGCACACAAAACACACACACGCACACACCACACACACACAATTAAACCTCAATCATACACTTACAATTTGTTCAATTCAAATCAATACAAATTCACACTTACAATTTACACAACCAGCACAAATTCATACACTGATTAATTACACATCTACACACAATTATACACTTACCAATTACACAATTCATATACACATAAGTACAGTGGCACATACACACTACACAAACATGCCACAAACACGATCAAGAGCACGAAAACAAAAAGAACTACCAAAACCACAGAAACATAATCCACAACCTCACAAGTGTCTATCACTATAGATGGACACTAACCAAGGTCAGAACAGGAATGGGTACAGGCTCTGACAGACCTCTGCCACCAAAATCCTGAGGTGGCCAGCAAAAACATCACATCAATCATCCAAAACATACAGAAAAAACAAAATCACCACTCACTCCTGAACGAATCAAAAACATATACATACTTCCAAGACACATCAGACACACCAACCTACGCTACACCTACACACACCACCCCAAAAGAGAAACAACACACACACACAAATACTACATCACACTAATCTCAAAAAAAAATTCCAGTCTAAGAAAATTTTACCGCATCCAATAACCACAACTTCCTTGAAGATATCCCTTTCAACCTAGAAATGGAATCATCCGAAAACCAGGCCATCCTCTCCACAGCAAGTCCTACTCCCTATACCTAAGAGAATGGGAAGAGGATCTTCAAGCCATAACAAATCACAGTCACATAACCGTATCTAAGCGCAAACTCACGGAATACACTGATACAAAAAACACATCAAAGAAACCGTACACAGAACAACACATTCCTAAACCGTCCACATCCAAAGCATCTACTCCTTATTACAATCCTCCATCCCAAAATCCCCTCACCTACACATCCCTACAAACACAAAACACACTCTCACCAACACCCACCCAACCAACACCATCACACATACACACACCCATATACGAACGCATCATACTTCAACAAACAACACCTACACAACCACAAACATCCAACACACAATTCACAATACAAAACACACAACAAACACCGCACACCATCCAAAATCGAGCACATCCCCCCAGATATATGTCAGCAGAAATGATTCTATCCACTCATCAAAGACAACGATCAAATCCCAGACTTAGATTCAATACAAGTCTTCCCAACACAAAAGGCAGCTTCAGTACGAATTACCAAACTTCTAGACATCAGAGATCTCACGGCAAATGATCGGAGATAGCATTATCTCCATAATTTAGGATT